GGGTAAACTCTGGTTTTGCTTCTGATACACTGATCATCCTGAATGAAAATCTGTATATATTTCTTCTTTATTAATACAAAATTGTAAATCTCATGACTGTGAATAAGGTTTTATTCAGGAAGAGATCCAGAATGCTATTTTTCTGAATACTCTAAATTGATAATACTTCTCTCTAATCTGACATATACTCATTTAACAATATACGAGTTGTCTCAATGAGAATATGACTACTAGGTACTCGACATAATCATAACAAACTTCCTTTTCATTTCCGCTTTGAATCCCTGATTATGTCACTTGATCATTAATATTCATATTCTTCTTAGTCATGCACAAATTGTTATTTTTTTAAAAATATTCTTTCTTTTAAGCATCATTGAAAATTTTTCAAATAAATCAAACTTACCATCACTAACGCGACCGAATTGCATGCATACATAGTCTTCTACAAAATAAATGCAAAAACAAATTAATATACATAAAAACAAAAGAAAATTTTATGAATAAAATGAAACCCGTTGAATGTAAAGTATATATTTTAAAAAAATCGAGTTTTAGTAAAAGAAAAAAACCAGTTCTTTTTTACATGAATTTTAATAAAAACAAGCACAAGTTAGTTACAAGCATCTTCCATAATTCAATAGATTTATTATTAAAACAAAAAACAATATGTTCTTTCTTTTTGCTGATCTTCTTATGTAAATTTTTTTTCGTTTCTTTTGTTTTTTACTTACGATCATCATCATGTACAATTTGAAAATTTTTAACTGACGCTTGTGTTACACGTCCATGAAAATTAAGTACATAAGATTGAGTTTCTAAAATTAAAAACAAACGAGTTTTGAAAAATTTTTTATTTAAATTTTAATTTATACCTTCATTCCAAACTGGTGTTTTATTATGTAATTCAAGTATATTTTCCATATTATTATGTCTCCTTCGTTCAATTAAACTTTCGGATTCCTTGAAAATCACAAAAAAAGTTTTTTTTTTTGTAATAAAACAAAATAAATAATGTATTTTTTTTGTTTCTTTACATTTTTTGGTCGAACTTCAACACGCATATGATCACTACTCATACCCGGAATAAGTATTGTCATTTTCCGTGGTCCTTTAAAACCCAAAATATTTGTTTCCTAATAAAAATATATAAAAGAACATTAATGTATTCTTTTTTTTTTATTTAATAATATGTATACATAAATAATTGCCGCTAATTCTCGACGATATTCGTCAACCGGACTAAAAAAATAGAACATTTTATCCATTCGTGTTTATACATAGTAAAGAAACTTACATATTTCTTCTTGGATTTGAGCCATGATCATAAACAGTAAAATGTGTACCTAACATATTTGCTCTAAAAATTTTTTTTATCAGCTAATGAATAAAATATTATTTTATTGTTTTTTTGTCTACCTTAATTTTCCAATAAATCTTTCACCATCACGTGATAAATCCGTTGCATCAGTTGATATCAAATAATTTGATGTTGCACTACGTCGACGTTTACGACCAGCAAGAATAAAAAACTAAAATAATTATAACATAGAAGTTAAATTCATTTATTTTTGTCTTTAATTTTGATTAATTCTTACTTTTTTTCCATCACCTGGTCTTTCAACATGCATATAATATGTTGGAAAAAGACCTTTTTCCATGCCACGTTTATCACGTGTTATTCGACATTGAATATCACCAAGACCATTTGGTGCTGGTGTATAAACAAATCTATCTAAATCTTCTGTAATCATTTCAAATAGTTCACGTATAGCTAATGTTAATTGTGGTGATGATGATGTTTGTGGATCTTGAGTATTATTAGGCATAATTGCAATTTGTAATGATGATGAACCATTAGAATAACTTGGAGTTGGTGACCATGGTTTAACTGGTAAACGTTCAGCTTCATCATCTGAATCTGTATAATGATTAGGAGGATTTTTAGATTTTTTCGATTCATTAACAGATACAAAACGATCATTAGAAGTGATTTCATCTTTATGATAACGTCGTGAAGGCTTTTTTAACACAACATTATCAGTGCGAGATAATGGATTAGAATGATTATTAATATCAGATGACGACGATGAAGCAGAACGTTGATTATGTTTACGACGAGAATGACGATGAGCTGGTTTAATAGAAGGAAGGTGATCATCATGCTTGCTCGTGCATTTGCGTTCTTTAAAAGGAGGGTGCACAACATAAACAAATAACACAAACAAATAGGTACTTCTATGCAACATGCATCGTCATCAATCTCAGATGGATTTTGTTTTTTAAAAAACAGTATTGTATGTGGGTGGATGAGGACGACGCATGTTACATAGAAATACTAACAAAAGCAAGAAGCATTTAAAAAAAGAAGAAGCTATGCTAGACAGTACTTTGCTTAAGAATGAAACAGCACGTATTATTCATAGCTTCCTTCGAAGTACGTCTATAATTTCCAAGAATGAAATGTTGAGTTGTTTCTTTTTTAAGAAAAGAATTTGCAGTATATCATAATAAATTCTGCATAAAATGCACTAGAGTAAGACCGAATATACACTGTTTCATTCTTAATTGTATCATATTCATGCATTAATAAAAAGAATGGTTAATAATAAAAGCATTAAAAGCTCATTCTCTCTGTTTTTTGTTAGTAATTGAACACAACATACCATTCAGCCTTATTTCGTCTCCATCATCAAGAGTTGCTGTAGCTGTAACACCGGATAGTTTTTGCGTTGCATATATAGAACGATTTACAGATGTTGATTGAATGGATGTGGCAGTTGATGGACGAGAGACATTTGTACCATTTTTCTAATATTCATTAAAAGAAAAATGAAGATCTATATAAAAATCCATTTCAAAAGAAAATTATTACTGCTATCACTTTTTCATTGGAAGTTATACGAATAGTACGCAATGGTTCAGTTGGTAAAGGTATTGTACGAGTGTTACCATTAAATGTTGTTAGTTCACCATCATCAGGATGAAATGAATTATTGTCAAATCCTATGAGTCGAGAATAATGCATTATCAAAATAAGTATTTAAATATAAGAGAGATTAGATGTTTGAATCTAAAAATTTTGTGATAGATTTTGCTTTTTTTCTTTCTATCATATAAGAATATTATAGATATGAAAGATTATTGTTTGTCATGAAAGAAAAGGGAAAGAAATGACTAGATAATGAGTTGAAAAACATGGGAAGATATGAGATCGAGACCTAACTCATTTTATTCTATTCTAATTAATCTGAGAGGATAGAAAAGCAGCACGTTAATGCGTTCTAGAAGAAGCAGCAGAAGAAGTAAAAAAAAAGATTTTTTGCTTATGATTCTATGAAGAACATTGATGGTGTAAATGAATTGTAAACGGCAACAATGGTTTGAAGAATTTATTCTACCTTTTATTTCATCCGGACCTGATGTATCCGTTCGATGAGGTGTACGACGAGTACGTAAATCTCCAGCGCGTTTTATTGCTTCTTGCTAGAAAGTTAAAAACATGAGAAGTTAATTAAATTCGAATATTTTTACCTTTTGATTTATTTTTTTTCTATCAAATTTTTGATAAGATGTCAAAGAATTCTGATCATCATCATCCGAAATCCTATAAAAAAAAGAAAAACAAATGCTTTTTTTTGTATTTGATATTTATAATAAACACAAACTTACTGTCCTGGGGCACGTTCATTGCTCATTGTTGTAGTATACATTTTTTGCCGTTATAACATCGATTTATATATACATAGATCTGTAAATAAACCCAAAAAAATGGATTATATAAGGTAAGAGAAAAAAAACAGCAACTCATCGAATTAATATCAGTTGTTATACTTCATCTTGTTGTTAAGTATGCAACAAAAGAAGATAGTAGTCATATAAAAAAAGGAACAGCGAAAGAAAAGAATAGTATTGTGTTCTTTCTAATTCTTATCAGTCTATTTTGTTCGTTACTTTGTTGATGCCAATGAGATGGTAAAATGTAATAATCGTAACGTATTTATGTAAATAAAAGAAAAAAAATCTTAAGATAGAATAGATTCTAAATGAAGAACTAAAAAGACTTCTTGACGTTGAGCTATAAGAAATTATTTTCATCGTTCAAATAAATATAAATAAAATATACGCATAAATGAATTTTTACTTTCTATTCATGTCACTATAGATTTATACCTTCCTAGTTGTTAATAAAAAGTTAACAACATAGACAAAAAAAAAGATACCGATTGGATTGATGTTCGATAATTCGATAAAACCAGTACTATTAAAACAAATTTATTTTTAAAAAAGAAAGCGTGAATAAATCTAATTAATGAACGATAGTTCCTACCATTTCTTTATTGTTTTTTCTCTCTTTGGTTTATCTGTTGTTGTTGTTTTTTTCTTTTTTTTTTCGTGTTTCTATAAGTGGTCTTGTCATCGTCAGACAATATATATAAAGATAGAATGGAAAAATGATGTTCTATCCTTTCTCCAGCTTTTTTTCTTTTCTTCCATTCTTGTTTTCTCTTTTTTTTTATTAACCATCTGGAGAAGAATATTTTTGCAACAGAAGAGAATTATAATCAAAAAAAGAAAAAGGAAAAGAAGAGAAAAAAAGGACGACGAAGAAAAGGAATAGAAGGAGTTCTGTTCATGGAAAAAGACGGATCACAAGGTTAAAAGGAAGAAAATAAAAAAATAAAAGATATTTTCATCTAAAAAATGACAACCATTTTTATACATCTCATCTTTTACAAAAACCTAGAAAGAAATATTTAAAAAAATGTTTGATTAGAATCAAATGCATCATCTTGTTTGAAGATAGTGAAAGGAGATGAGTCATGACATCATCAACCATGACTTTGTTCGTTACTAAGCAACTAACCTTCAATATGATTTCAATTTAAAATTCAAAAATAAAAATAAAAATAAAAGTTAACGATGTCACCACTAACGTTGCCATGTAAAGGAAAGAACTCTTTAACAACAGAGTAATAACTATATTTTATACGTTCTCTATGTCCTTCGCACGACTTTTACCATCAAAAAATGATGATGATGAAACTAAATCATTATCAGAAACAGGTGTTATTGTAAAAGATATTGTTCCACGTTCTATGATCGATAATGATGATTGTACATGCACATGTTCATGTTGTCCAACTATATTCGATTGGTGTATAAAAGATGCTTGTGGCTTATTTTGTGGTATTATGACATGGATGTTCTTTTTATATGGAGAATTGGTTTTTGTTTTTGTTATTTTAACACCAAAAACATATTCATTATTATTTTATTTAATTAATTTCTTCATATTTCATGTTCTTGAATTTCTTGCTATTTCATCACATTTTCAAACTATGTTTTCAAATCCAGTATGTATTGAACTATGAATAATATTAGAAATTTTTTGTTTTTTTTAATATCTAGGGTGCAGTGCCATTGAAAAATGCTACACCGGAAAATTTACTTAGATATGAAAGTGGTACAACTGTTTATCGATGTGCCATGTGTCAAAGTATAAAACCAGTAAGAGCACATCATTGTAGGTACTAGAAATTTAAAAAAAATTTTTGATGATATAAGAACTCAAGTTATTCTAAAGTTTAAACAAAATTTCAAAAATGAATTATTTCTTTGAATACTATTTAACTTAAAACTCTATTATGAACTAGTTGAGAAATTAGATTTATTTATTTGTCTATACAATGTATTTCCGATTAATCATGCTTGTTTTTACATACATTACGATAGAAAAATGATTATTTGAAAGTATGAGGAAAAAATTGCATAAGTTAATTACTTTGAGTTTTTTATTGTTATTGTCGTGCTAATTTGATTGATTATCTATTGAGTTATATCTTACGACTCCTATATTCAATGCTATAATCTTGTCAAACAAATTGATAGCTCAATTTTGCTTCATTAATAACTATCGATCAATTTTCTTTTAACACAATAGATTTTTGCAAGTATATCATCAAGTTCAAATTGTGTTGTAGTATTCAAATACCATTGCCTTGTTAGATGTCAGATTATCCTCGACCTCGAACCCCATCCGATGAATCAATATTCAGATTTATATACCAGAGAGGTTCAAGTACGACTCCCTTTATGTAAACTCGAACTGTCTCTGCTTATTATCCGTTTTTGTTTGTTTTGATCTATACTATCTCTCGTGGTCTGTGTATTGTTTTTATATAATACTATTAAGTTGAGCATAATAGAAGCACAAAATTATCTTAATAAGTTATGCAAAGGAAGTCATGCATGCGAAAATATTTGATTTAATATAGTATGTATTTGTCGTGAATAAATAAAAAGAAAAAAAAACGTTGACATTTTGAAAAAAAACAAGTTGAGTTTTTAATTAAGAACATTTCAAAGAAATTTGATGAATTACTTGTAGATGACATATTTAGTTTCGTGAAATCACAAGAACATAAAAATGAATGAGAAAAAAAAGAATAAAAACCTAATCAAACGTAATGTAAAGTAATGATAATTATAGCAGCTGCGTAGAAATTGCGAACAGTAATCTATCGAAAATGAATAAATCAATAGAAAACAAGCATTTGATTCATAATCTATTATTAGTTATGATTGTGTTCGGTGAAAATAATGAACAAAAATAATATGACTTCTCATCTTTCGAAGCGTAAAATATTTCACTATGTAGTTTAATATGTAGGTTTTATGTGCAAAAATCAACGAAAATTATTATTTCTTGAGAATTTAGAAAAAGAAAACATGACAAACAGACGAGTCAACTCGATAGCCTTTTGAAGCTTTGCTATATTCTATAACACGCATTCCGATTTTCATATCTGAGATTACTTATCATGGTTTACTTACAATCTATTAAATATATTTATTTAAAATAGTGTGTGTAAACGATGCATAAAACGAATGGATCATCATTGTGTATTTGTTAATAATTGTGTTGGACAAAACAATCAAAAATATTTCATTTTATTTACGGTAAGAATACATTTTGTAATTAAAACAATGTAATATAAAAAATTTCTATTGTTATCTCATATAAAATACAAACTTAGATTCATGACATGATTATGAAATAAAAAATTTGCACTTGAAGATTTGTCAAGATATTTCATTGATATACGTATATTAACCTACCTAAACAAATACTTTTATATAATAGTACAAGTCAAACCTTTGTTTGAAAACGATTGACATAGATTATTGAATTAATGTTATACGACATAAACAAAAAAAAAGAATCATGATAATACTTTGACATATACCGAGTACATACTTATCTCATCAAAACATAAATATGATAATTTCATTTTAGTAAAAGATTGTTCCTATTGCATGTATTTTATCTTTTGTTTCAAGTTCTATTTGATTATCTATTTATAAAGTATTCATATTTGAAATGGTGTCCGTAGCGTTATTTCTGTTTTATCAGATGACTATGTAAGAAGACAAGAAAAAGGTTTCCAATTTCTAAAAGAATTCTATTTGTTTTGTAATTAGAGAATTTTCTGTAAGAATTAAATATTTACTCATCGATTTATTCGATCTTTAATTTCTTGCTTATTCTAAAATTAATTCAAACTTAAAGCTTTGATTCAAATAAAAACGCTATTGAACTTGATTCACAATAGATTTAATTGAATAACGTTACCGGTGAAAAAAAGATATTTCATAACGTGATTGCTTAGAGAAGAAGTTTTTAATTATTTGACGAAAAAAGATCCATAGACGCGAACATTAAATAAAAAATTTATATTGACAAGAACAAAAAAAATCTTAATACCTTGTTCACTGATTGAAATTATTGTTTTTCCAGTAGTTTAGTCTATATGGTATCTCGATAGCAGATCATTTCTAGAACTAAAAATTATTTGATGTATTTTCCAGATTGAGTTCGACATATTAGTGGAAAAATGAGGAAAATCTATAACTATATAAAATGGCAAAACATGGGGAAAGCCTATTAACGATTGATGATACTAAATCAAATAAATGAACAAAGGCAACGAAATGGAAATTTTAATAATCATACAAAAAGACAATTATAAAAATAAGTTTCTTTATGACATTTAGCTACGAAATTGAAACATTTTTTTTATTTAAAAAAGTTTCTGCTGTTGTTTAACACACGACAAATTAGCGATTTCTCTCTTGCTTAACAAGAAAGCCTCCCATACTGATAGTTGCTGTTTGAGGTTATATTGGGCGTACAAGGGTACCTTAGTCAAACTGAAAGGGTTCGCTCTCATAGTCTTCCGAAACTGAGTTATGATCATTTTACTAAATTTTCGATCAAGTTGTAGGTATATACTAAAAAATTAAAAAAATAGAATTTCAACGTCAAATTTCGCTTAGTGATAGGTAAATTGATCAATAGAATATACTAAAAGATTCAGTCGAAAAGAGTGTTGTCTTGCTGAGATATATGAGTTGCCAAGAAATACTTGCTTGATACTGGCATCATACAAAAATTCACTTCACGAAAAAATCAATATTGTAATAAAACAATGTTGTTTTCGGTTCAGGCCGTCAGGTTATTCTAAACATCATTAGATCTATCTATAGGCAAAATTTTATATCGAAATTCTGTTACTTGATTATGGGTTAGAAATTCAGTAAAACTATCATAACTAGACTGCATAAGCCCATAAGAATGAACCTTTTCAGTCTCACCAAGGTGCCCTTGTAGATCTAATATGAGGAAAAAAGCTGGGCACCAATTCAGATGGTTTTCTCTTAATTGAAATCTTTTGTTATTAAAATAAACAAATGATTCCCATATCACCTGTTTGTTCGTACTACTGCCGATAGCTCTTACAACGTTTGGTTCCAGTTATAAATGATTAATGAAGAGTGTTTTTCTAACCAGGTTCGAATTAATTATTAGAAAAAAATCAAATTAACCGAGAAGAAAACAGTTTCATAAAATATTTTACTAATAAAAACTGATCTCATAATTATAGCTGATTTGGGCTCTAAGGCTAGTACAGACAGTTCAGAGGCGTTAACGATATTGATATGCATCGACAACAGCCCAATTTTGTTATTTTTAACCGACAATCATCAAGTCTCTTGTATATATTTTTAGTTTTATACTTTTATGTTAACAATCTATGGATTGTTGCTTCTTGGTATTCATATAAAAACTTGTATGTCATCAAATTGGGCTGGTTAGTGATTTATTAATTATATATTGATATGTTACTTTTCTTTTTTTTGTCAAAAAATTTAACAGCATGTCCTGCTTGGTCACCACCAGTGACACTTCTTTTTATGATATCTTTTGGTTTAGAAGGATTATCTTTCTTATCATTTACTGGTATTATGACATGTACACAATTATATTCTATATATACTGATACAACTGTATGTTTAAAAAAAATTATCTAAGAATAAAAAGTTTAATTTATTGTATTCTGTTTTTTTTTGTTTTTTTAGCAAATTGAATTATTTAAAGGAGTAACATATTTAAATCGAGAACGAAATTCCTTTATATATTCATTAAAAATAGTTTTTGGTTCACGAATGGGTTTAACATGGTTAAATCCATTTTCTAAACCAATTGATTTAATTACTCAAGATGATGAACGTATAATATTTGATATTTAAATGACAATTTATTATTTTTCTTGTTTTGCTTTATTATTATTATTATTATTTTAAAGACAACTAACAATAAACAAATATATACTAACACATAAATACAAGACAAAATAAATTGCGAGTTATTCGATAATGTTATTTTTCATTATTTATTCCGTTTGTAAAACTATTTTGAAGTTTTTTTAATGCATCGAATATAATACACATGTCACCTTTAAGATCCGATATTATTTGTGCAACATGTTGAGTATTTGAAACAATTTCAATACTTTGATTATATGGATTATAACGAACAGCAAATGGACGTTTTATTGATACAGCAAATTCTCTAAAAATACAAAAACAAAACAGAGTATTACAAAAAATTATTATTGTGCTTGTTTTTACCTCATCTTTTCTTTTGCTTCAACAAAACTAGCTGAAACAAAATATTGATCTTGATATGTTGTAATTAAACATGTTTGTTTACAAACAACATCTGGATCAAATGGAATTTTTTTAGCTTGATCACTTAATGCATGTTCTAATTCAGCACATGATGAAAGTAACCCAGCACCATATGCACGAAGACCACCATTTTGTCGACATAAACCAAATTCAATTGTAAAAAAATAACACTAAAATTTTTTTTAAATTTTATATTTATATTTTTTTGTGTAGAATTGGAAAGATTAAAAGTTTATTGATTAAAAGGTTATTGGAAAAAGATTTTTTTCATATTCAATTTTTCAAATTTTACTGTCTAGTTAGACAAGCTAATGTATACAATGGAAGAAATAAACGAAGATCTGTGTAAAGGAGAAGATATGGTTGAAGAAAAAAATTAGAAGACTTCAGGACTCTTGACTAGGGGAGCTATCTCGAAAAGGTCTGACTCTTTGTTAAATTCTTAATACTTTCTGCTAATTTTTACAGCTTCGTGATGATTCTGTAGAGAAACCAGAATTTGAAACACTATTGACCTTTCCCCCTAACAGAATGTGAAATAAAACTAAGCAGACAATGTTATTGCGAGATAAATTTAATTGGAGAAGGAATGACCTGGTGACAGATCGTGTATTGTAGAAAAGGTCACGTCACCCATGCATTTCGTTCTTTCTCCCTCCCACTCATCACTTCTAGTACTCCAAGAATGAAAGCACTTTCTGCCGAGTTTTACTGTATGACTATACATTTTGTCTATAGATATAAGCCGATCAACTGAACTGCCACTATTGACTTACACTGTTAAATGTGTTCACAAATAAGTTCAGTCTAAAAATCCTAAGTATTTCGTTGCACATAAAGTAACCATTTTGCAAAATAAATCAAAACATAGAGATTAGTTCAATTATCTAATGTATCAATATACCTCATAAAATGTCAAATGCAATAAGCTTTTAGGTTTCAAAACAAAAAAAAACTCATTTGCAAGTCACAATTCATAACTAGAACTTTGCAAGAGTGAGAATTATTATCTTACTGTTGCTAAACGATTAATATCTTCTTCCGATGCACCAATAGCAGCAAGACCAATTTCATGAGAAAATTGAGCAAAATTCGGATCGGCTAACAATGGTATATGACCAAGTAATTCATGACAACAATCTCTAAATTAAAAAAATCAATTAATATTCATATATGTTTATTTTCTTTTCGAATTTAACGAAAAAAATAATAAACTCACGGTTCAGGTGTGTATGAAGGATTCGATGAATGTCTTATATATTGTGTACAATGAAAAACTCGAAATGCTAAGCCATATAAAAAATCTCTGGGTGATAAATAACCAGCAACAGGACGTAATGTAAAACCAGTTCGTTCACGAAGAAAACGCGATATATCTTCTAATTGTGGAATATTATCTTCTCTAAAAATATATTAAAAAAATAATAAATAAAATGTTCAAAAAAGTTAGTTTTACCTAAAACCACATTTTTCTCTTAATAATGGCCAATTAGCCAAATATTCATTACATGCATGTGTTGGATATAAATTATTTAAATTTCGAAATACTACACCCCATGTTTCAGTTTCTTCTTTTGTATATGCTACACGTGGTATTGGATCTCCACTCAAAAATATAATAAAATTAAAAATGAACAAACCCTAAACAATAGATATACTTACTGTTTATATGCAATAGCTACATCATGAAAATACATTCGACGTGCACGATAAACTTGATCAGTGAAACCCTAAAAAAATCAAATATGAAGATCATTCAAAAAAGAAAAAGAAATCAATATTTTTACATACAGGATGATCAGCATCGAGATCAACCCCATATAATAGAACTTTATTTGAACATTGATCCAAATCAGTAATACGACGTGGAAACCAAGGTGTTTCTTCGGCTACAACTACAAAAAAGAAGAAAAAAATTATTTTTTTCTATCTTCAGAAATAAACATGATTAGTTTCTATTTCAAAAAAAAAAATTAACTCCTATTCTTCATTAGTTGTTCAAACCTTTTCCTTTCTTATGCTTTTTATGTTGTGGTTTTAATTTCGCTAAACTATTTCTCGCAAAGTCTTCATCATCAAAACTATTCGTTCGAATAAATGTATTATTTCGATCATTTGTTTCGTTTGTTGGATTAAATAAAGATTGAGAACGTATATATTCATGTGGATAAAATTTTGTTTTTCGAACATCAACACCAACAGGATATATCCATAAATCATCATCTCTTATAACAACAACTGAACCCGTTTTAGAACTTATTGATTGTTCATCATCACTACTTATGTTATCATCCGTTGACATCATTGATGATGTTATTTCATTTAATTGTGGTGATGTTGGCATCAAAAAATTTGACACTGGATTACGAATAAAACCTGGTATGGGTTGATTAATTGCTGGTATAAGACTTTTATCAAGATCTAATGATGTCCATGATGATGTTGGAGAATCTATGATTGATGTAATACGTTGATTTGTTGTGTGTTGACAATAGGTACGTAAACAGCATTGATCAGTTGATGTTGAAGATTCAATTGATGCTGTTGTTAACGTTGATGATGGAAGATTTTTAACATTATTAATTGATTGTTGTAATAATGATATATATTGAGTCAAATCTGTTATTTGTCCTTCTAAATCAGCTACTGTTGTTGTTGATGGTCTATCAAATTTTGCAAGTTCTTGAATATAACGTATCATATGAATCCAATCATTTGTAACAAATATTGGTAAATATGAAAATAATTTATTTGAATAAATTTTTTGTATTGTTGATAATAAACATGATACATTTGTTAAATTATTTTTACATTGTTCAATAATGTCATATACATGTTGATCAGTAGTTGAATTTACAATTGATAAAGAATATTGAAGAGAATTTTGTAAATTATAATATGCTTGTTCTAATTGTTTATATGTGAAGAAACGTGTTAAATTTGATTCAATTTCATTTATTGGACCATGGTGAATAACATTTGATAAATAACATAATACACTGTCATAGCAAAGAACTGATAATGAAGAGTCATGGCTTAATGAAATATGTAAATGATGATCCAAAGCATTTTTTAAATTTAATGATGATATTTCCAGTGAAGTTGATAGATGAGTTTCTTGAAACATATTTTACATATGCTTTTCGACGTCCAATGATATTTTCTTTTATGAGTGAAAAGTTATTTTTTCAAGCGTAATTTATAGTTGCTCTTTATCACAAAGAAAAAAAGCAGACAATGAATAACCTTCTTAAGTACTTCGATAAAGCAAAACAGTTGAATATCACTTCTCGATCACACTTGTTCTAATGAATACTAATTCATAACAGGAGTGAAAATCATGAGTAGAACATGGAGCTGATCATAACTCTTCCATACATTAGCGGCGTGATTACTTTTTATGAAAAAAAAGAGCCCATTGAGTGTAATGTCACAGCTGTTTAGTATTAAAAATATATAAGTTCTTGTGAGCAATGATTCTCTCAGTCTCATTCGCAGAATATTTATTAATCCTAATATTAAATTAATTATTTATTTTCTTATTTTTCTAATGCTATTTTAATAATTGATCATAATGAAAAATAAAACCCAGGTCGAACGATACGGTCCGTGTACGGCAACGATACGATCCGTATACGGCAATGATACGGTGAAAATACGGATAACAGTATCCATTGACCTAGGAAGTATAAAATGATATCAATACTCGTTTTAGTTTTCTAATAAAATCTTTCACATTTAAAGTACGCACATCTGATGACTATGGCATAGACTTTAGACTTTGAAGAAAAAATAGTGATCGGTTGGATGTACCAAATATATAAATTTATTACAACTGATGCCTCTTTTCATTTGCACTCGTATGCTTTTATTAGTTTTATTGTTTTGTTTTTTTTTTATATTACTTACTATGACGTCCTATTGCTTGGCCATTTTGATCAAGAAACGGCGATAATGGTAAAAAATTAAAATCATCATTTCCATTTGTACCTGTGTGATTCTTTGTATTATGATTTTCATTGTCATTATTCAAATTTTCTTTTGGTTCAAAAAGAATACTTGGATCAAATTCAACACATGAAACTTGTCTTTTCAATTCTTTCATTGATTGTTCAACATTAGCCTTGTCAGCTTCCAAATCAACATAGATTTCATATTCAGAATTTGTACGATGAGAACGACGAGATTCAATATGAACAACATTTATGTTATGCTCCTGTTCAGAATAAAAAAAAATCAATATTAATAAAGTTTTAACTATACTTGTGAAATTTTTTGTGCTAAATCTCAGTTATTCATAGATAAACTTGAAGCATTATAATCAATCATATCTTATTTCAAGACGCATCGTGAATGTGAAAAATTCTGTTTCTCTCATATTCACATATGCTGAAAAACGATGAATAGGGGAGCTTGGTTTCAAATCTAGATGAATGGTTGTATTTTTGAAGTCCAGAATAACGTATATCTTGTAGAACCTCAAATATATTTAAGCGAGCAGTTTTCAATTAGGCCCCTTTCGAGTTTAGTCATGATTTCTCAAACTAAAAGACAATGATAAGTCTTCATTGATCTTCATGAATAATTATCTAATTAATTCATGCTAATTTTTTTTTTACTTTAAATCATTGTTGTTGCCCTTATTGGTATAATTCACACACGCAGAGCATTAAGTGACGATAAAAATTGTGTTTAAAGTAAAAGGTTACCCAATTCATTGTCCAATTGTCATCGATTGAGGAGAATCTATCGAATAATCCCATTTAAACCAAATGATGTGTGAACAATTACTGTTAAGACACACATATTGAAGACAAAAACCAAATAAAAAGTAACATGTACTTGACAACTACCTATTGTAATGTACTTGTAATTAATTGTCAAAGCTTTTCATCAGCAATGCAATGTAACGAAGACGTAAAAACAAACAACTTAATATTTTTTGCACCACATAGTATAATGCGTCTATATGTTACAAATGTTAATAACTTTTATATTCTTCTTGTTATTCTATATTATACAAGTTATTCTTTTCTATATTAAATATAATTATGAAACATTTTAATCAATAATAGTAGGATCGAACTGAAAAACCATTACATGAAACTGAAACTGTAAGAAAAAGATTCGAATCGAATTGGAGGCAAACTCTTTCAAACTTCTCTCTACGAATAGTGAAGTCCTCTAACTCACTATCATAGTTGCGATTATTTACCGTATGTGACGCGATTTGGCCTTGTTCCACTATCTTTTATACGAGAAAGCATTTTTTACTTTAACTAATATTAGGAAATTAATATTTGCCAGATGTTTCATTGAAATTACTTTTTCAAATCATAATTGTGCAAGACGATAACCGTTGTCAATATATGTCGAACAGAACGATTCTGGGCGACAGTCACTTTTTAAATATTAAATATTAAATATTACTTATTATTTAATATATCTTTTGTTCGATACCAATTACTGAATATTTAATATAATTCTCTTATGTCTAATGTACACTTTACCTGGAAGACTTGGAGAACTCGTGCTAAACCACCAATACGGTTTTTAATTGAAAAAATAAATGATGTTGTATTTCCATGTTGAAGAAGTGATTTTAATTGTTCTTTAGATAGTTCATTATTCAGAATATTTATTGCTTCTTGATCATCCATATCTTCATGTAATGTTGATAATCGATGCTTTAGAAATGTTTTTTTTCATTCATATATGATTCATTTTCTTAAATATTCGTTACTTACTTCAAGACATCGAAAATATGATGATTTGTAAGACATTGATGAAAGCTGTTTTTGTTGTTTTGTGTATATTGTAAATTATGAACTCAAATTTATTTTGATATTGAATGAGAATATTTAGTTGGCTCCAACATATTTATATATATACAACAAAACACAATTTAGTTTCTTCTCGGGTTTCTTTTCATAATAGAAGTGCGTGGGAAGAATAGCCTTTCTCATTTGTTAGGCAGTTCAACGACAGTAATGACTTCTTTTTTTTGTTCTAATACAATCTGATATAGTCTATCTCATTATTATGATATACGCATCTCTAATAAGAATAATCTCTCATTATCTATTTTTTGTCTTTATCTAATCGAATAAAGAAATCAAAAAGAAAAACAAAAAAGTCAAAATACAACGTAAATAAGATCAGAAAAAACAGATACAACGCAAAAAACAAATTAATTCTATCGAATATAAGATGTGTGAGGATGTGTCATACGTCTTTAGCAATTCTCTATAGTCCTATACACATTATTTTATATGCAAAAAGTAGTATAAGAAAAAGATGATAAATAAAATTTTCAAGAAAAAATAAGAACATGAATATATTAGGCTATCGTTATATCTCTTTTGTTTAACTTAGTTTTATGCACATTGTTTTTTCATACATTGAAAGAATTTTCTGTTGAAACATGTATTGTGTTAATGGATAAAAAAAAAGTGTTTTGATCATCAAAAAGTAGAGTTTTGATCGCCAAAATTGTGTAACTGCGAAATTATCACCAAAAAATGAGTGAGTTGATCACCAAATCAATCAAGAGTCGAGCCAATTAAACTGAAAATATGTTTCCATAAATGAGACTCAACTTTTCAAATCCTATATGATTAGAATGAACTTATTAGTAGGGAGTAATAATGAATTTCAATATAAGTGTGGGATTTAACAAAAAAACGTTAAAGTGAGGGTGAACATGAACGATGGAAGGTGAGGATGTGAGTGAGGGGGTGTGGGTGTGGATGAGCTCTGGGTGTGAAGATCGATGCGATGTGGATGATATTTAGAATGAGAGAATGATGGATTTGGTTTTAATATTTCTTTTATTTAACAGAATGGATACATGGAGATGCTGCGGTCATTGATGATATGGCATTTATTTGATTGAATTCTTTTTTTTTTCATTTGTGTTTTTGATGTTGCCACCTTCAGTTAATTTGGTGATCAAATCACTAATTTTTGGTGATCATTTTACAGTAAAAAGTTGGTGATCAAAACTCAACTATTTGATGATCAAAAAAATGCTGACCCGATAAAAAATAATAACTAAGGAAGATAATTATGCTCGAAAGTGTTTCTAGTAAAAAAATTCTATGAATAATGTCCAAAATTCGCACGATAGACCCATGATGCTGCTTCTGTGCAACAGAATGCTTTATATCGACATTTGTGATATCATAAATCTATCGTAATCATTATCGTAGACATAGATATGCTCTTGCCTGCTATGGATTCATTGCTATCGCTCATATGTAAAATATATGTGCTTGCTAAAAATCAGTGCATGTTTACGTCATTTTGGATGAGATTGAAGAGAGAAAAAAGAGACAATATTCTTGACGAGAAGATATTGAAGCATACCAATCATATAGAAGGTTAATTCGGCTGTTTTATACGCTATAACGATCTTCGAGATCTATGTTATACAAAGCAGCATCACCGTGTCAAGTGACGCGGACAAATCAGCATAAGAAAATTATAGTGAAAGTAAGTAGTTTGAAAAGTTTGAATTGAAACGAAATATTCGATAATGATTATATTGTTCAGCAGTTTTTTTGGAGCGGAGATATTCTTTTAAATAAATTGATAATAAAATCGACGATGATCTGCAGTGTTAAAATAATGTTCTTCACTTGTTATGGAGTATTAGTTTGATTGATCCTGAGTTGTATTAGTTTTTCGAATGTTTGTTCGATGAGTAACTCTTTTAATTATTCCAGTTTATAGACTTTATGTTAGAGCTCTAATTATTGCATCTTTCATCTGTGTTTTTTAAGATTTCGTTCCTATGTTGGAATGTATTTTTTACTAGAGCGGCTTAATTTTTTCTAACAATGAAGAGATTCCCATGTGATCAAAACCGGCGGTTAGCCACGGTTTTACTCGCTTTACCGGCTCCCTATCTGTGGACTGGTTTTTTTAAGGCGAACCGCGGTTTACCGCTAAAACTGATCCGTTTTTTGCGGCATGGGATTTGGTGTGTCAGAAAATAAGACTAGACGTATTCAGGTCAAATTAAAGTTTTCACCATCAAAATAATTAATCTAAAATTTATGCTGTCCTTAGCATACGGGACCGAGATATTCCAATTTGACAGTGTTTACAGTATACGTGAGATAATCGCAATGCAAAAAATCAGCAGATGTTTTTCCTTTTTTCGTGATGCTGCGATAGAGTTTCCCGAGCAGCATAAGAGCAGATTTGTTTCAAGTAGAAAATAATATTTTTACAAAAGTTAGAACTTGGGGTCTGTTTTCTCTTATACTTAAAGATAATAGAGCTGGGCAAAATACTCAAAGTACTCGAAAATCTAGGTAAGTATCGATTTTCTGAAAATTATGCTTGAAAAAATTGTAATTTGTGCTTTGACGGGATGAAATAGAGAGCTCATTGCTTCTTTCTGTTCTATAAATATAGATATCTAGATAAATGCATAGAAGCGACACAATGGTACCATGAAAGGCACACTTCTTTTTTGTTATTTTCTGTTACTAGTCATGCAATGTGTTATCGGTAACGAATCCATCTCTGTATTTTACATAGTGCTTCTGTTACTTTGTGTATATGATTCATTCTCACTGAATAAAATGAATTCACTGTTGTAAAACTACGTTTCAATTAGAATGTAAATGACCAGATTTTAACCCTTTCATCAGTGTGTCAGGGCGATAGTGAAAACCGCAGAACCAGAGAGCAATTCGTAGAAAAAGACCCAAAAAAAAGTTTCAGAAAATAGAGGAATCTGTCAGAACGAAAAGATGAAAGTTTCAAGCAGTACTCAAATCGCTGAGAGTTATGGAGAAAAAGTTTTGCTCTGGCAAACACGGATGATGATAATGGCACAGGAGTTAGGATCATCCAACCATTTATCAAGAGCTCAGGAAAAACTTTTAGACAATACAGAAAATTATGAGAATGGCAACAACATATTCAAATTCACATAAGAATCTGTTGGGCAGCTATTTAGAACACTTAGCCTACCTATCAATGTGCCTAGATCAGGACAAAAATGCGTTTTTCAGCGCGAAATTATATCTTAAAAGAAAGTCAAAAAGCTGCAGACGACTCATTCATTGAACTTAGCGCTCACAAAGAATATCATGTGATACTAGGAATGGTTCAGACTTAAATCAATATCCTTCCCATGTCCTTTGAATCGGCTAAAAATTGCCGATTAATCCCGATTCATCGAAACGATAATCGTGAGCTGAATCGCGATAAAATCGCCGATTATTCCCGATTATTTCGGCGATTTTTACGATAAATCGTGATTTTATGCAAGATTTAACCGTCTGTTTACTGATATTTTCTACTATTTCATTGGTTCTTTGGGAGACACATATTTGGATTTTTTCTTGAATTTAATTCAATCTTTTTTTCTCAAGATCCAAGACGATCAGATCGCTCGATCTGTCCAATCTCGAGCTGGTCTGATTCTTATCAGACCGCTTCAGTGTAGTCCTCTCCAGATCATAGATCAGGATTGGCATTTTTTTGATTAAAAATAACCAAGAAATAATTTATCAGAAAAGTATATTTCGAAAACTTATTTGTTATGCATTGAACGGCGTTGCTTATATATCCGTGTGTGTTCATAACAAAACGGTGAATGAATAATTGTCATGATTTATCAATGATTTTTGAAAATCAGCTCTTCTCCCATAATCGCGATAAAATCTGATATAATCGTCGATCTTTTAAAGAAATACGATAAAACACGATTTTACGCCAATTTTTTAGAAAATCGCGAAAATCGCGGTGATTCTCACGACATGGGTTATATTCACAGGTGGATTTATAAGAAGAGAGCTGAAAAGCTTAAAGCTACCCATTAAAATATGATCGTGATGGGAAGCAGCTACGAAGAGGCGATTAATGTGTTTTATTCATGGGGAACACTTTAGGATTGCTCATAATGTGAAAGAGTTGGAAAAGTTTTATCCCATTAATTTAGCGGTTAGGGTACCTAGAAGTTGTAAGTTAGCCATCAAAGCATTTCCATGATCGAGCAAGTTTTTCAGCAATAGAATGTCGGCGAATTCATCCAGATCTTAATGAAGATGCAACGAGCTTCAGATTACCGATGAACCTATTGTAGAGCTAGCGAACTCTTTTGAGCTACAGAGAAATGTCTGAGAAGAAGCGTGACAGCTTTAGAGAATTCAGCAATGTGTCAAAGTAACCGTAAAAGACAGCACGTGATTCAACAAAGTGTTTCCATGGTCGTAAAAAATATTGGACCAAACGAAATACGTGAGAGAGCCAGCAAAAAAAAATGAACAATCCATTATTTTACCACATTAGCCATAAAAGTCTTTATGCGGCGGAGCACGAAGAATGTCTGTGTGAGAGAGCGAAAACTGTTGGGCTATATAGAAATAGTGTAGAGAAAGTGTGAAAATTTTAAGAAATTGATCTAACAATGGAGGTGTGTGTATTGATGAGCGGAAAAGTGGCACATGTTCGGGTCAAATGAAAGCTCTCAACGCCAAACTAACAAGGTTAAAATATTAGCTGCTGTTGGCTTGCCTAGAGGGAGATATTTAACTTTTAAGTG